ATCCAAAGCTCCATAAAGGGGGATTTTTTTTTTCTTTTTTTTTTTTTCTCCAGTAGTCTCAGGTCATTTTGCCAAAATGAAAAGTTTCTAAAAATGACTTCCGAAGCAGTCACTGAAAAGCCAGATTTTTGGTGGAGGCGTGCCACAGTATGTGTTTTAACTAGACTTGTCTCTCAAGTTTCTGGAAAAGAATTTTAGGGCTTAAAATAGAGAGAGTATACTCTTCTTTTAACATTGAAGTTGTTTTTATTAAAAAAGCTGTTTAGTCTCTGAAGCCGTTAAGAGAAGAATATATAGATTCATGGGGGAAGAGTGGAGCGCACCGAGAACCCTGAATGCCAAATACATCTCTGTGAATTTTATCCAAAGGCAGATGAGAAATGTGGAGGATGTTTTGCTGCTGTTGGGATGGACTCAGGTTTTCCAAGGCCGGCTGAGCCTGGCAACAGAGGTACGCGAGACCAGCTGGTTTATCCTTGTACATAGGATTTTTCATTCTGGAGGACGAAGAATTCTCATACACGTACAGAGAAATGGTGAAAGAAATGAGAGAGGGAAAATCTTGATGTTCCTCAGCTGGGTGGTACCCCCAGTTTCCCCCCTGCCTCTCCAGCCAGTCCGCATTGATGGTTTTGAACCTCATCTGTATTTCTGGGTGGATGCGATGAGAATACCCCACCGCGTTGGGCTGGATTGAAAATTGGGGGGATGTCATTGCTCTGGGTGTGGGGAGCGAGGACGCGCTCGCTGATATCCCCGCAGTGGCGTCTATGGATAGAATTTATTAAAAAAATACGTTACCTTACCAGCCCGCGGTGCTGCCCCGTGGCCCCGCACATCCCCTCTGTCGCACAGCCGGGTATTGCGGCGTGGTTGTGAGAACGGGCGGGTTTTGGGGAGCTCTGCCCGTGCCTTCACGCACGGCCGGCACTGACGTGGAGTCCACCGGGCGGTTTGCCCAGTCCCTGACGCAGAGCTCGGGGCTGCGTCCTCAGAAGCGGAAGGCTTGGGGAGACGCACGCTGCCTCCCTGAGGTCATTAGGATAATTAATGTGCACGTGTGTGTGTGTGGCGATGGGTCTGTCGTGTGCGGGTGAGATGCTCGATCTGCCCGTCCTGTGCGTGGGGACAGACGGACGTGCTGCACTTACTGAGCATCGTTAGTCCAGGCTGCGGCCGCAATCACTTATTTCCCCCGAGTCTCTTAAGATATACGACCGAAAGGCAGACGAGTGGCTACATTAATTTTTTACGCCCTTTTAGGGTACATTAGACATTTGAAGGGAAAATCCCAACACCGGCTCATCTGTGCCTGTAGGAGAGAGCAACTTTGGTTTTATACATTACCGCACTGCCTGCACGGATGCGTTTGTAAGGCACGAGGAACCTTCAGCTGCGAAGGCCACATTTTTTTTCCCAATTAACATGTCACAACTCAAAGCGTAATTTAAGTGACAGAAGTGCTTTCCCCAGGAAGACGTTGCGAATCCTCATTTCCCGGCCCCCAAACTCAATTATTCCCTCGCAGAAAATTTGCAGACTTGACTGCGTGTCACGCAAAAGCCGCCGCGGATTGCTTAGATCCGAGGCAAAAAAAAGCGACAGGCAACGGGGGGGGGGAAGCGGCAGGTAAAGAAGAGAGGGGATTATTTTTCATGTGGTCCAGGAAGAAAAGCGGGAGCTCACCAGGGAACAGGCTGCGTTTCGCTCGGTGGCTTTGCTTTTCCCTCGCCCCGCTGCCTGCGGAGGTGCTGCCCTTCCCTGGGCCAGCGTTTAATCTCGCACGGTTTGGGCTGGAGCTGGCACACGCTTGCGTGCGCTAAATAAAACCCCGGCTCAAATTAACAGCCTGTTTCACCTCCCTGATTCAGACCCCGTAAATGATGGTAGGGGAGTGAGGGGGTTTGGGGGTCCCCGGGTGAGCTGCCCCTCTGGACGTCTTTGTCATTCATTATAGCTGGTTTGGGGCAAAAAAATCTTTGTGCTTAACCTGATGGATAGACTGATATATATATATATAAAAAAAGAAGGTTTCGAAATGGTGAGTTGCAGAAAAAAATAGATAAGGCTGAACTGGCGGTGCCGGGGCAGCGGTGGTGACCCCTCGAGGACTTTTCGGGGTGCCTGAGGGATCAGCACCTTGTAGGTTGGGTGGGCGCCCAGATGCCAACCCCGGGCTGATCTTTCGGCAGTTTTCCTGGGGGAGAGGTGAGAGCTTTGCCGTGCCAACAGCCCCCGCTCGCCCTCCTCCCAGGGAACAGGAGCAGGGAGCGGGATGTTCCCCCCGACGCGGGGTTTCCAGCACACCCGGGGTGTCTGGCGTACGTGTGCAGTGATGCTTTCACCCTCCAGTGTTTTTCAGACAGGCGTTCCTGGCCAGCAAAGGGAAACCTGCGTGCGAGCATGCAGGGCTGAATCATTTTAGGGCCCGGCTAGCATCCATGGATGCACAGCACGACCGAAGCAAATTTTGCCCCCTTTTTAAAATTTTATTATCATCTAAACAAACGGTGGATTGATCGCTCTAGCTTTTGCACCCAGAGTCCCGCGTTCTCCTCCGTAGTTCCAGCTTGGTGATGATTTGCAGATTTGCCGTAGGGTACCGGGGTTGAGCAACCGCGCGGGGGCTTTGCCGGGCACGTCGGGGAGAAGAGGGGAGCGTGCCGGGGATCCCCGGGGTCCCCCATATGTTGGTGTTCCCGCAGGTCGGGGTCCCCCGCAGGTTGGGGTTCCCGCAGGTTGGGGTTCCCCATAGGTTGGGGTCCCCTTAGGTTGGTGTTCCCGCAGGTCGGTGTTCCCGCAGGCAGGAGGAGTTCAGGCAGCATCGGAAGGGGGGTGACGAGAGGGAGACCGCCAACAATCCCGCATTGCTGCGGGCAGCCTGATAAATACCAGTTCTCTTCTCAGTCAGTCACGTCTCTTCCCATGTTCTCTTTCTCTATGTGGTCATGGCTTTAAAACTTATTTGTGCCTCTTCTTTTCAAAATACGGGGTTCCTCCATTATTTTCTTTGCTTGCTTTTTTTTTATTTTTTTATTTTTTTATTTTTTGCGTTTTGGGGGAGGGGATAATATAATTTTCAAACGTTTTTAAAGCCTCATCCAAAGCTTGGGGGACTTTTTCTTAATATTTGCCCATAACGCAATTGGGGCGCTTGGCGAGCACCCCTTCGCCCCGGTCCCGGATGGGGGGAGCGGTGCCGTTTCTCTCTGCACGTAAGAAGCGGAGGTTTTTGCTCTCTTGCAGGCTCCTCGCGGGGCCCCAGCCCCCTCACCATGGGGGCACAGGACACCCTGCCCGTCGCCGCCGCCTTCACGGAAACCGTCAACGCGTATTTCAAAGGGGCCGACCCGAACAAGTAGGTGCCGACCGACGGGGTCTGGGTGTCGATACCGGGGGGTCGGGACAGGCTTGGGGTGCTGTTGAGGCTTTGGTGAGCATCTCGAGGGATGGGGAGGGAGGAAAGCAACCTGGTCTAGATGAAGGTGTCCCTGCCCAGGGCAGGGGGTTGGAACTAGATGAGCTTTAAGCTCCCTTCCAACCTAAACCATTCCGTGATTCTATGCAAGGAGGTGCTCTGGGCTCGGCACACACGAGGTGCACTGCACCAGGTATGGTCCAGGGTCAGGATGCTCCTGGGGCGTCCCCGTGAGCATCGGTCCCCATCCCTAGCAGGCTGCCAGCCTTTGCTGCCGTTTCTGCTCGCTCTGCTGTAGGACCACAGGAGGGTCGTTCCCCCCCCCCGGCGCGAACCCTCCCCTCCTGCTGCATTTTGAGCATTCCCCCCCCACCCCGTTTCCTCCCCCCTCGGTCTCTGTGTCCGGCCCTGCAGGTGTATCGTGAAGATCACGGGGGAAATGGTGCTGTCGTTTCCAGCGGGCATCACCCGACACTTTGCCAACAACCCCGCTCCGGCGGTGCTCACCTTCCGCGTGCTGAACTACAACCGGCTGGAGCACGTCCTGCCAAACCCCCAGCTCCTCTGCTGGTAAGCCCCTGCCTCGCCAGCCCCCGCAAAGGAAGGCATTTTTCCAGAAAAGCAGGGTGCTTTGCCAAAAACACACGGCCCGAAGTATCTTCCTTGGAAGCCTGCCCTGATTTTGGGCAGGAAACTCTCAAGCCCCTCAATATCTCCCTCTGAGCGCAGCCCCTCCGCCAGGCAGGAGAGCATCGGCGGAGAGGAGCGGGCGCTTTGATGGGGTTTTTGCTCGTGTTGTGCCTCGCTCCTCTCATCGGACCTCCTGTTTGCAAAACGCGATGACCTACAGGTTGCGTCTGCTGTGCCTCCCTGGAGGCATCTGAGGAGAAGCCAGAGATGCGCAGGAGGGAGGCGATATATCTCTAAATGTGGGATTAAATGTGCTCCCAGCTGGCGGCCGGCGCTGCTGCCCGGCATGTGCTTTGTAGAAAAGCTTTCTTCCACCGAGGCGGGTTACACGAAGGGTTAATTCTCCCTCTGTGCAGTGACAACACGCAGAGTGACGCCAACACGAAGGAGTTCTGGGTCAACATGCCAAATCTGATGACTCACCTAAAGAAGGTATCGGAACAGAAACCGCAAGCCACCTATTACAATGTGGATATGCTCAAATACCAGGTAGGGGTTTTTTTGTAAGATAAAACTGTGCCAAAAATGCGTGCTGAACTTATAGACGTAAAAGCCGGTATTTCCCTAGTGCAGAGTGGAGATAACGTGAGTCGAGGGCATGCCGTCCCGCTAGTCCCTTCTGTATGTCACTAAATTTTGAGCCCAGTACAAACTCGCTATGACAAATTCGAGGTATTGCCTCCTCTGATACCAAATGCGATTACCGCGTCTGTAAAATGGGATTTTTCCCTTCACCCCTACGGAAACTAAATGTTTTTTCTGTCATTTTGGAAGGTATCTGCCCAGGGTATTCAGTCTACTCCATTAAACCTTGCAGTGAGCTGGCGGTGTGACCCTGCAAGCACTGACCTCCGCATCGACTACAAATACAATACAGAGGCAATGACCACACCGGTAGCTCTAAACAACGTCCAGTTCCTCGTCCCCGTCGATGGAGGAGTAACCAAACTTCAAGCCGTGCTTCCTCCTGCTGTCTGGTAGGGATCGCTCACCCGACAAAGAGCTCCTTTGCTCTCTCTGCCGTGTCCCTGCCTAAAACAGCCGTCCCGGCAGCGGAGCGGGATCGCCCTGGGGAGGTGTCTGCAGGAGGGAGCCAGGGACACACCGGGGACCCAAATCCATCCTCTTCTTGCTGCTGGAAATGTGCAACCCCCCTGGGATTCTTTTTTTCCTCGCCATTCCCACAAGCAAGCGCTCAGAGCTGGACGCGTGTGCGCAGGAGGGAGAATAACAAAACCTTTATTTCGTGTTTTGGCTACTTCTACCCCAGGCTCAGAGGGACGGGTGGCCATGGCGGCCGGAGGCACACGCGTTAATGTTTGCAGGGGGGAAGCAGGGCACGGCACGGCCCCGCTGCCCCTCACCTGCAACGCAGGAGCCGCGTTCTCCTGCTGGGCTCAAACCCAAAGCCAACCTCCCAGAACTGCAGCTCTGGCGAGCAGCACCGGAGCTGCTCCCCCAGCCCACGCGGCCGTTAGCAAAATTCAGCTGTCTCCTTCGTCACTTCTTGTTTCCTACAGAAAAG